CCACCTCGTTTGTTTCTGTTTACATGAACGTCGTGCAGTTCGGTACATTTAACACCCGAAGTAGATCGACCCCAGGTAGCTCAATTCATGGAGCTAATGTCAGACATATTTCATCAAACGAACAGTCGCGAAACAGACTCTTTAGCCCCATGGCTATTGGACTGTGTTCGTGGGATCTGAGCACTGTTTGACTATATTGAGCGCTCAGACCCAAGCTATCTGGGGAAATGTCGAATGAGGGGGGTTCCGTTTGGGAAAAGCAAAGTTATATATATATTTATATATTTATATATATATATATATATATATATTATTTTTTTTATATTCTTTATTTTAGTTGTGCTTAGAAATACAAGGAAATTGACCATCAGCAGTACAACAAAAGTAGTGTAGATCATATCATGAATTACCAGGGAACGAAAGGTTGTACATTCGCAGGTACAGCACATTTTAAGAAGTTAAAGTATAAACGAAGTCTAAGCTCGGATATTTTGTCAAACATGGTGGATAACTGCATTATATACTTTGCATATAATAGTTGAGAGATACATGTTAGTTAGGCAGCATATCTTGTTGGTGCATTGAGCTTAGCTTTCTAGACTGATAGACTGAAGAATAAAAATTTTAAATAATCTTAAGAGAGGCGAACATTCACTATCATTATATTTTAATGTATTTTTGTTACTTTTGTAAAATGGAAATATTTTCTCTACCTGGAGATTATTGAGTTTGCTCAGGTCACTTAACCCAATTATCTCCAGGATAGAGGGGAGGGATTTCACTGTTCATGGGGGAGTGTGTTATATTTTACTGTAAAATGATTGGTCACTGTATTTTGTGTTCCTGTCCTCCACAAGGTCCCTGTGGTAGTAACTTGTGCTGGAAGACCTGCATAAAAGGCCGAACGGTGTCCATCAATAAACCAGATTGTTTTACCCCTTCATGAAGTCTTGGCTCATGTTTGGGGGATTGGGAGCTATAATTTACAACACCTTTGGATTTACTTGGATTTCAGGAGACGCTGCACGGATATACTCAACTGGAGTGTAAGATATCCATAACTGGTGGCAAGAGGCAGGATTTTCTCCTGAATGGATATATTGAACCGAAAGAAGGAGTGAATGGCCCACAGATACGAATGGCTCAAATGAACAATGTTAAAGGAGCCATTCGTAGAACCCTCCCAGAGTAATTGGGCCTCCCCGGTCGTGTTGGTGCCGAAACGGGATGGTACGACCAGTTCTGCGTCGACTACTGGAGGCTTAATGACCGGTCAGTCACCGATGCCTACCCCATACCCAGGGTAGACGAATTGTTAGACCGGATGGCAAAAGGGAACTACTTGACCACTATAGACCTGTGCAAGGGATATTGGCAGATCCCTTTGGAGCCTGAGGCTATCCCTAAGTCGGCCTTCATCACCATTTGGCCTGTATCAATTTAAGGTCATGCCATTTGGGATGAAGAATGCCCCAGCTACTTTTCAGAGGATGGCTGATCGGCTCTTAGAGGGATTTCATGTGCATATCTGGATGATATAGCCATCTTCAGTTGCACATGGGAAGCTCACCTGGAGCACATGTCTGTAGTGCTCAAGAGAATCCAGACCGCCGGTCTTACTTTAAAACCGGACAAGTGTCATGTATGGATGGCAGAGGTGCAGTACCTAGGCCACGAATGGGCTCCGGGAAACAAAGACCCGAACCCGCCATGGTAGAGGCCATAACCCAGTGGCCCCAGCCACACACCACAACCCAAGTTATGGCATTTTTGGGGACCGCCGGCTATTACCGGAAGTTTGTGCAGGATTACAGCACTATAGCAAAGCCCCTCACGGACCTCACCAAAAAGTCTCTCCCCAAGCAAGTTGTATGGTCCCCAGAGTGTGCAGACTCCTTTCAAAAGTTAAAAGCGGCCCTCAGCGAGGCACCTGTATTAGCGGGCATCCGATCATTCTGAAAAAATTCTCGTCCATACCTATGCCTCAATGTTTGTACTGGGAGCTGATTTGAGTCAAGTCGGGGAGGGTGGAATGGAGCACCCAGTGGCGTACCTGAACAGAAAACTGATACCCAGGGAAGTCAGTTATGCCACTGTGGATAAGGAGTGCCTCGCCCTCGTTTGGGCCCTCAAGAAACTCCAACCTTATTTGTACGGGCACTCCTTCACTGTTATTACTGATCACAACCCCCTGATCTGACTCAACCGAGTGACAGGAGACAACACCAGACTATTGAGATGGAGCCTGGCACTACAGCCTTATAATTTCACCGTGCAATACAGACCAGGGAAACAGAATGCCAACACGGACGGCTTGTCTCGCCAAACAGAACTGGACACTTTGCCAACTGCTTCTCGGGCAACCCCAAGCCAACCCATTGGGGTCTAGGTGGGTATGCCATCCCATGGAACTAAGGGGGAGCTATGTGACAAAACCCCTGTTTTATGAATGCCGAGTTATGCCTCAAGCCATTAAACAGAGGTGAAGTGAAGATGTCTGATGAGGGTTTTTTCCCCTCAAGGATTTCCAAAAAGAAAAAATAATTTTGAAGTGGTTAGAAAATGGTAAAAAAAAAAAAACAGAGAGAAATTAAATAGTATTTAAAAAGTACTTTATTCACAAAAAAAACTTGTTTATTACAGTCAGGTCCATAAATATTGGGACATCGACACAATTCTAATCTTTTTGGCTCTATACACCAACACAATGGGTTTGAAATGAAACAAACAAGATGTGCTTTAACTGCAGACTTTCAGCTTTAATTTGAGGGTATTTACATCCAAATCACGTGAACGGTGTAGGAATTACTAAATGCCACGATTTTTTCGAATGTCTGTTATACCTGCGAACAATAGCTGTGGTGGCTACATTTGCAACAATGTCATATTTGCACAAAAAAATAAAGAATTAAAAAGTGTAACCCCCCCCCCCCTTAATGTAATATGATGTAGAGTGTATCCCTGTGTACTGCTGGGTATCTCTTCAGGCAGGAGATGGCTATCTGTAACCCAACCCCCTCCTGCCTGGGACTAAGGGAAGTGTAATGTGTGGAATGGAGACCCCCTGTGGAGGTCTGTGCTTAAAGGAAGCTGTAATCATTAAAGAGTGTGACTCAGCCTGGTGAGATGCCAGTGTTTTAACCTCCAAACTGTGTGTCCTCCTTTTCCACTGAAGGAGGAAGATTTTAACCCCTGTGTCTGCTGTTTCAGCTTATAGGGAATTCAGAAGATTTAACCCCTGTGTCTGCTGTTCCAGCTTGCAGGGAGATGAATAGTATTGTCTCAGCCTGGGAACAGGACACAAGGAACAGGTCCCGCTACAATATTGATATCAAAATACATGTAGAACGAAATAATATATATAGATATATACATATGTATATACGTATATATCACTATATATATATATATATATATATATATATATATAAATAAAAATAATTGTAAAAAATTATATACATATAAATATATATATATATATATATATAAATATATACACATATCTATATATATATATATATATAGATATACAAAAATATAAGGTACAAAAGGCAAGCACTCACGGTCTTTTCTGGTCTCTTTAAAAGGTTGTTCTTTATTTCATAGGTTAAAACTTGATGTGATCGACGTTTCAGCCAAACTTCATGGCTTTCATCAGGATCTTAACAGCTCAAAATACATCTTACAAATAACACACTTATATAGTAAAACAAATTATACAATCAATAATTAAAACACTTACCACCTGAGGCTGCACTGCTTCCACGGCGTTCTATCGCCGTCTCTGCGCATGCGTCACCCTCTCGCTACCCGGAAGTAGCGTGTTGACGTCATCGTTGCCGTGGATACCCGGTATGTTTACCTGGCTCCACGGCAACGCAGCGAGTAATATCCTCGCTCTTTTCACAGTCAGCCTAGGCGATCTAACTCTAACTCTGCATCTAATCAAAACCTTAAAAACATATTAAACAAACAATATTTAACTATTTAGATGGATCTTATTCATTTATGACTCACATTCCATTATTTATAAAGGCTATTCCATATCTAGTATCTAGACATAATTATACAGTTAGGATCTTATCTGCATCCTACCATGCACCACTTATTAGATGTTTTTAAAGTTACAATTACAAATTATTTACAATAAACTATATTCCAATAGTCTCAAAGTGCTAAATATATCATTTCTATACAATAAAGTGCTAACATTTGTATATTAAAGTGAGACGTAGTAAATTAAAGTGATACTTGTGCTGTTTATATACATCAAAGTGCTAAACATGCTGTATATGTACATTAAAGTGCTAACATTTTACCTAAAGTGCAACTAATTTATTAAAGTGATACACGTGTAGTTTATATACATCAAAGTGCTACATGTGCTATTATTATGTACTATTTATTGGTCACCGAAGTATTACTCTCTTTGTTGCTGCTATCAACTACCTAGTTACTGTGCTTCAGTGATCTTTCAACATATTATATACTTTCAAAGTGCTAAAAGAATATATATTATACTATTATGTACAAAAATAGAGGGATAATAGATCTACTAGTGTCTTATATATACATTATTTACATAAAGCCTCATTGCAAATTCTATTGTATATCGTACCTATATATTAACTTAATTTATCCTATCAATGAGTCATATTCATTATAGTAATGCTCTTTGCTCAAAGAGGTATTATTTAAGATAGATAATTGATAATTGGGTACAGTCCTTTATCTGAGCAAATAGGATAAGATCTACAACTTTATATTTTATATTTTAATTCGTTATATTATATCTCCATATAACCTTTTTATTGATATAAATTCTTCCTCTAATTCTAGTTAAAATATATGTATTTTAATAACTCAAAGGAGGCAAACAATTATTTCAACATTACTCATATATATGGATGATATGATATCATCTCGTTCAGTCCTCTTGGAGCCACAGGTTCGAAGAACAGTGGTACATGCAAATATCAGGGACATCCATGGGAGCGGCTATGGCGCCTATGTACGCCAATTCTTATATGTACACCTTTGAGACAGAATATATATTAGAGCCATTTAAAAGGAACATCATAAAGTACTTTCGCTTTATAGATGATATTCTGATAATCTGGCGTGGTACGAAATTGCAAGCGCAAGAAATGGTTGAGTTCATAAATCAACTTCCAACACCGATACGGATGACGGCCAATGTGAGTACGGAAAGAGTACAATTTCTAGATGTGGAATTATCCGTGGAAGATCACAGAATGGTCTATTGTCTCTACTCTAAACCTACCGATAGAAACACCATACTACATTACAACAGTGCACATCCAAAAAATCTGATCAAGTCTATACCTAAAGCTCAGTTTCTTAGGGTCATGAGAAATAATTCAAAGGAAACAACTAAACGAATACAATTACAAGAAATGAAAATGAAATTTCTAGATAGAGGGTATAGTGAAAGAGTCTTAGACAAAGCGTTGGAAGAAGCAGAAGAGAATGCGACCACGCTACAAGACATCACAGAAGTCCCCAAATTGATTTTTCCCATGACATTCCACAGCAAATCACAGAAAATAAACAGCATTGTAAAACGTAATTGGAATATGTTGGCATGTGACAATAGTTTGCCAAAAGAATTTAAGCAATCACCACGTATTTGCTATCGAAGAAACAGAAATTTAAAAGATATATTAATGAAAACAGACCCTGTCGAGAGCTACACTGAACAGAAGATAACACAAGTAAGAGGCAGTGTGCGCTGCCTAGGATGTGTGACGTGTAGTCATATGGTGCCAGCACGTAAGTTTAACCATCCACATAAAAATAAGATGTATAAAATCCGCCACACCATTACGTGTAAGATGACCCATGTAATATATAAAATATCGTGCCCTTGTGGCTTGGTTTACATAGGGAAAACTGAAATGCAGCTCTGTGACAGAATTAGGGGTCATAGATCCAATATAAGAACTGCCTACAGAGACGGATACACAGACAAACCTGTGGCGAAGCATTTTTTAGAATACAAACATTCTTTGACTATGTTAAAATTCGTGGCAATTGATTGGATACCTTGTTCTAGAAGAGGTGGAGATAGGGGTAATGCCCTACTGAGAAGAGAGACATTCTGGATACAAGAATTGGAAACTGTGGCTCCAAGAGGACTGAACGAGATGATATCATATCATCCATATATATGAGTAATGTTGAAATAATTGTTTGCCTCCTTTGAGTTATTAAAATACATATATTTTAACTAGAATTAGAGGAAGAATTTATATCAATAAAAAGGTTATATGGAGATATAATATAACAAATTAAAATATAAAATATAAAGTTGTAGATCTTATCCTATTTGCTCAGATAAAGGACTGTACCCAATTATCAATTATCTATCTTAAATAATACCTCTTTGAGCAAAGAGCATTACTATAATGAATATGACTCATTGATAGGATAAATTAAGTTAATATATAGGTACGATATACAATAGAATTTGCAATGAGGCTTTATGTAAATAATGTATATATAAGACACTAGTAGATCTATTATCCCTCTATTTTTGTACATAATAGTATAATATATATTCTTTTAGCACTTTGAAAGTATATAATATGTTGAAAGATCACTGAAGCACAGTAACTAGGTAGTTGATAGTAGCAACAAAGAGAGTAATACTTCGGTGACCAATAAATAGTACATAATAATAGCACATGTAGCACTTTGATGTATATAAACTACACGTGTATCACTTTAATAAATTAGTTGCACTTTAGGTAAAATGTTAGCACTTTAATGTACATATACAGCATGTTTAGCACTTTGATGTATATAAACAGCACAAGTATCACTTTAATATACTATGTCTCACTTTATCATACAAATGTTAGCACCTTGATGTATATAAATAGCACAAGTATCACTTTAATTTACTACGTCTCACTTTAATATACAAATGTTAGCACTTTATTGTATAGAAATGATATATTTAGCACTTTGAGACTATTGGAATATAGTTTATTGTAAATAATTTGTAATTGTAACTTTAAAAACATCTAATAAGTGGTGCATGGTAGGATGCAGATAAGATCCTAACTGTATAATTATGTCTAGATACTAGATATGGAATAGCCTTTATAAACAATGGAATGTGAGTCATAAATGAATAAGATCCCTCTAAATAGTTAAATATTGTTTGTTTAATATGTTTTTAATGTTTTGATTAGATGCAGAGTTAGAGTTAGATCGCCTAGGCTGACTGTGAAAAGAGCGAGGATATTGCTCGCTGCGTTGCCGTGGAGCCAGGTAAACATACCGGGTATCCACGGCAACGATGACGTCAACACGCTACTTCCGGGTAGCGGGAGGGTGACGCATGCGCAGAGACGGCGATAGAACGCCGTGGAAGCAGTGCAGCCTCAGGTGGTAAGTGTTTTAATTATTGATTGTATTATTTGTTTTACTATATAAGTGTGTTATCTGTAAGATGTATTTTGAGCTGTTAAGATCCTGATGAAAGCCATGAAGTTTGGCTGAAACGTCGATCACATCAAGTTTTAACCTATGAAATAAAGAACAACCTTTTAAAGAGACCAGAAAAGACCGTGAGTGCTTGCCTTTTGTACCTTATATTTTTGTATATCTATATATATATATATATATAGATATGTGTATATATTTATATATATATATATATATATATTTATATGTATATAATTTTTTACAATTATTTTTATTTATATATATATATATATATATATATATATATATAGTGATATATACGTATATACATATGTATATATCTATATATATTATTTCGTTCTACATGTATTTTGATATCAATATTGTAGCGGGACCTGTTCCTTGTGTCCTGTTCCCAGGCTGAGACAATACTATTCATCTCCCTGCAAGCTGGAACAGCAGACACAGGGGTTAAATCTTCTGAATTCCCTATAAGCTGAAACAGCAGACACAGGGGTTAAAATCTTCCTCCTTCAGTGGAAAAGGAGGACACACAGTTTGGAGGTTAAAACACTGGCATCTCACCAGGCTGAGTCACACTCTTTAATGATTACAGCTTCCTTTAAGCACAGACCTCCACAGGGGGTCTCCATTCCACACATTACACTTCCCTTAGTCCCAGGCAGGAGGGGGTTGGGTTACAGATAGCCATCTCCTGCCTGAAGAGATACCCAGCAGTACACAGGGATACACTCTACATCATATTACATTAAGGGGGGGGGGGGTTACACTTTTTAATTCTTTATTTTTTTGTGCAAATATGACATTGTTGCAAATGTAGCCACCACAGCTATTGTTCGCAGGTATAACAGACATTCGAAAAAATCGTGGCATTTAGTAATTCCTACACCGTTCACGTGATTTGGATGTAAATACCCTCAAATTAAAGCTGAAAGTCTGCAGTTAAAGCACATCTTGTTTGTTTCATTTCAAACCCATTGTGTTGGTGTATAGAGCCAAAAAGATTAGAATTGTGTCGATGTCCCAATATTTATGGACCTGACTGTAATAAACAAGTTTTTTTTGTGAATAAAAACGAGACGGCGATAGAACGCCGTGGAAGCAGTGCAGCCTCAGGTGGTAAGTGTTTTAATTATTGATTGTATTATTTGTTTTACTATATAAGTGTGTTATTTGTAAGATGTATTTTGAGCTGTTAAGATCCTGATGAAAGCCATGAAGTTTGGCTGAAACGTCGATCACATCAAGTTTTAACCTATGAAATAAAGAACAACCTTTTAAAGAGACCAGAAAAGACCGTGAGTGCTTGCCTTTTGTACCTTATATTTTTGTATATTTTTGGCATTGGCTTAATACCACCAGGCACAATATTATTGGAGAGTGTGTGTGCAAGGATACAACAATATTTTGGTATATATAGATATATATATATAATTCTATGTATATATTTATGTAATACTTTTACATAATTATGTCATTTTTATTAACAACCCAGGCCAAAAGTCCAGGGAATTAAATTTGCTAGCACTATATTTAACCCTGTAACTTTCCTAGACACCATAAAACCTGTACATGAGGGTACTGTTTTACTTGAAAGACTTCGCTGAACACAAAATTAGTGTTTCAAAACAGTAAAATGTATTACAATGACGATATCGTCAGTGAAAGTGACATTTTTTGCATCTTTCATACACAAATCTTACTTACATGGACAATATAATTGTTGTGATACATTTTACTGTTTTGAAACACTAATATTTGTGTTCAACTAAGTCTCCTGAGTATAACAGTACCCCCCATGTACAGGTTTTCAAATGTTACAGAGTCAAATATATGGCTTGCGTTTCAGTTTTTTCACATTGAAATTCGCCAGGTAGGTTATGTTGCCTATGAGACCATATGGTAGCCCAGGAATGAAAATTACCCCCATGATGGCATACCATTTGCAATAGTAGACAACCCAAGGTATTGCAAATGGGGTATGTCCAGTCTTTTTTAGTAGCCACTTAGTCACAAACACTGGCCAAAATTGGCTGTCAAATTAGTGTTTTGCATTTTTCACACACAAACAAATATTAACATTAACTTTGGCCAGTGTTTGTGACCAAGTGGCTACTAAAAAAGACTGGACATACCCCATTTGCAATACCTTGTATTGTCTACTTTTGCAAATAGTATGCCATCATGGGATTAATCCTCATTCCTGGGCTACATATGGTCTCAATGTCAACCCAATCTGGCAAATTTCAATGTGAAAAAAATAAAAAATGTAACATGCTATATTTGACCCTGTAACTTCCCAAAACACCATAAAACCTGTACATAGGGGGTACTGTTTTACACGAGACATCGCTGAATACAAATATGTGTATTTTATTGCAGTAAAAGCACAGAGTTGTATGACATTCACAGTTAAAATATCACGTAGAACTACAAAACTTTTAAATATTCTTTTTTTCTCTCATTTTTTTATATTTTATTCATATTAAATTATGTTTCAAACCTAAATATTTGATGTTAAATGAAAGCCCCGTTTCTTCTGAATAAAATGAAATATAATAAGTGTGGGTCCACATAATATGAAAGAGGCGAATTACGCCTGAACAGACATATAGCGCAAATTCAAGTTTTTGTTTACGCTTTGTTTTGATCACAATGTGTACATTTGGCTCAGCCCTTAAGGGGTTAAACCTTTGCCCCTCTAATTTAAGACTATGTCCTCTTATTTATTTATTATTGGCATTTATATAGCGCCAACAAATTCCGTAGCGCTTTGTAACATATGTGTAAAGCAAAATTAAAAACAAAAGAAAGGCTGGAATATTAACCGGTGAATTTTGCTATAGTATGCAGTCACCCTATTCCCACACATTGTAAGTTTTGGGAGGTTGCACAAGTGCCACTAATGCATACCTTATATCAATACAAGTGTCCCAGACCTTCTCCACGCCAGCCCGAGGCCTGATATGGAGCCTTCACCAGTGCACCACTTACCCGGACGTAAAGAATTTACCAGCCCTTTTTCATTAAGAGTGGGTCCATGCACTTCAATCTATTGCCTGGACATCTCACAATGTGAAGGGGGAAGATCATTTTTTAAGTCCATTGTAGTGCTTCCTATACGGCAGGAAATGGCGGCTTGAATCTAGGATGTATATGTCCTCCAACAATAGGGGAAAATATTCTGTAATATTATTTTTAGATTCCTTTTGGATACATGTCCTCTAATACAATAGGCATCACGACAACTTTGGTTTATTGAAGCAGTTTTAGTGTGTAGACCATAACCCTGCAGTCTCACTGCTCACTTCTCTGTCATTTAGGAGTTAAATCACTCTTGTTTCTGTCAATGCAGCCCTAGCCACACCTCCTCTGGTTGTGACTGATGCAGCCTGCATGAAACAAATTGTTTAACCCCTTAAGGACACAACTTCTAGAATAATAAGGGAATCGTGACGGAATATCTCCGTCATGTGTCCTTAAGGGGTTAATTTTCCATCAGATCTTAATTTAGTTTACACTTAACTCTGTAAATTGAACTTTAATCACACACAGAGGGCTCTTGCAGGCTCTAGCAGACTTTTAACAGAGCTGGGAAAAATAATTTATAAATTAAACAAACTGTGCAGTAAAGGAAGTTTAAACATTAGATCTCACTTTGCATGAAGTATTTAGGAAGGTTGTGTAAGTTGCATGCAGGGAGGTGTGGCTAGGGCTG